ATGATAAAAGTACATTTAAGTTTTTTTGTTTTACTCAAGTATCTTATTTCCTTTTTTATTTAGGGAAAGGCAAAACTTTTTAGTCTGCCCTCATAGACAATTTTAAGCTGTCTTCTTTTACCATCAGTCACAATTTATGGGTACTAAACTGCCAAACTATCGCCTAAATATCGGGCTATTATATGGCTAATTAAATGATTAGAATAAAGTAATTTGTCATTAGAGGTAGGCGTTAGGCGCCATCTCTTAAGTAAATTAATAATTAAAATTAAATAAATAAATTATTAAATTAATTTTAGAACCTTCTGGAATAAAAGAACTGGCCCGGGACGGGGCTATATACCTCGCCGGGTATTACGTTATCTGGCTGAGTGCCCTTGGGGTCGTGGGCGATGAAGTCGTCCCCAGTCAGTGATGTATTTAACCAAGTAAGGTTATATCTAATCTAATATACTTCTGGAAGCGAAGACTCGCTCGGGGTCCGGGTGGCGTAACTGGCAAGCGCACTGCACGGCAAGCGGAGGTTGTGGGTTCGAGCCCCATTCCAGGCCAGTTCTTTTATTCCAGAAGGTTCTAAATTTATTTAATAATTTATTTATTTAATTATAATTATTAATTTACTTAAGAGATGGTGCCTAATGTTTATCTCTAATGACAAATTACACCAATCATTTAATTAGCCATATTATAGCCCGAGATTTAGACAATCGTTTGGTGATTTATTGTATACTACTCAGGCTTTAAGATGTTGTTATATGTATTTTTTAAATGGCTTGTTTTGTAAAGGTAACCTGTCTCTGTGTAAATAACAACACCCACATTACTCTCGTACTCCTTCTTCATCTTTACAAGATTTCAAGTTAAAATAATTTATATATATTACTTCATTTTATATATTTTTTATGATTTAAAACTGTGTATAATTAAAATGTAATTAATTAATATTTAATATTTAAATTAATATCTAAGCTACATCTAAACTTGCATTTATATTTTATAATTTTATTTAATAGAAATTTAAAACTGAGATTTATAATTAAATAACAGGTCTAAGAGATAACATATTATCTACTTCACTGTATGATAATTTTTTAATATATTCGGCCACACAATTTGAATTAACGGAGTATATTTTATAGGTCAGAACAGATGTTATCTTTGAGTCAGAGAAATAAAACTTAAAACAAGTAATTCTGAGCAATTTTTAACTCAGATTTTTTTAAAATATTAAGAGTTTCAATAGCAAACTTGCCTGATACTTCTCTTTCCTGTTTGATTTCACTCCTGCATGATGGTGTAGTACTTCAACCGCATTCTTCTGATCCTTATCCTTCTCTTCTCTCCCTTCATTCTCCTCATCTGTAATTCATTTCCACATTAACAAAACATTTCATATTGAAATTACTTAAATAAGAGTTTACATAACTTGGAGAAAAAGTTAAAACTCACTTTCTGCCTCCACCTGTTTCTGCGACTCTAAGGTGTAAACATTATGTGACAGTCTCTTCATTATAGAACCTGAGCTCACAGTGGATTTTCATTAACGATAATTACATGCACCGATATAACAGAAAGAACAAGTAAATCTATCTGTGAATGTAGTAGTAAGCCACCAAACAACTGCAGCAGTCGAGTAAATTAGCCACTTAAAGCTACTGACAGATGGTGGCCAGTCATAAGATCTAAACAGCTTATATGAAACATAAGAGTTTTTTTGTAATGATGTCAGAGGGGTACTCTAAACCTTAAATAAATTATTTATGTACATAAAATTTAATTTTAAATTTTATAAAAATTGTATTTGTCTCAATTACTAAACAATTGATTAATCAATGTTTTTACATAATGCTCTTTAATTATGTACTAAACAATCAAAACTGTGAAGCATGTTAACTATACATAATTGAGTTTTAAGCTCAGATTAATGTAGGAGTACACTTAATAAACATAACATAGTTGTGAGACTCTGGATAGGTCTGAACCCACACTAAAATTTACATTGAAATGTTTTTGAAAGAAACAAAAAAGAAAGAAGTTAGAAATAATTTTAATATGAAAAATGCACTGTAAACATATAAACAATAGAAGATTGTAAGTCCAACATCAACTATCTCTGGCTGGGATGTGACCAACCACTTAAGAAAGCAAGAGGAAGAAAAAGTGACTAAATGGAATGGGTGATTAGGATGAGAAAATAAAAATTTCAAGTACTTGACAACTTCTCCCAAAAATGTCATGTATTGGACCAATTGTTGTGTGTGTTTCTCATGCCTAACTTCATCTCCATTTCCCTTCACCAGAAGTCAACCATGTCATCCTAGAGTTTCTGAGACATTGAAGGAACTCTAGTTCATGAATCATGGACATTATCTTGGAAAAAAGAGGAAGACCCAGAGACTGACTTTGATCTTCCAAGATCACACAAATTTTGTAAGCTGCTTTTGTGTCAAATAAATAGTTTCTTGTAACCGTAGTCTGTCTAACAAGTAAGTGATGATCACACCTGCATATAACCCTCTCAATCTATCGTCTGTCTTGACCATCACATTCCTAATTGGCAACCTCACAGAGTGGCTATGAAGTCTCTACACAAGTTAATAACATGTTATCTGCATACTCTGCTTCACCATTCATACAAATTTCAAATTTTCCTTCTATTCTTCTGAATATCTTCCATGTTGATAACTAGAAGTCATTAAAATAGTTCCCAATATTTGTATTTAGGTATTTGGCTGATGTAAAGAGTCAAGACCAGTGGAATCAAAAAATTTCTTCTTTTGCAATGTTTGCAATGAATTATTAAGTCTGGACTTAGACCATACCATACCAGATTCACATCTACAATATCACCCAATGAATTTGTTATAGAGATATTTTCTAACTAGCAAACCTAGGAAACAATTGCATGCACAACTGGCTCTTCTGTTGTCATTATTGTGCAAGTGGAGACTTTTTAGGTTGGGGTGCATTTAGGCTAAATGCACCTCAACCTAAAAAGTCCATTATGCACCCCATAAGTGACTACTTGGAAAGTCTAATCTCTTTTAAAGAAGACAATAAACCTCTGAAGGAAACCCAAGAGATGTCACCAAGACTCATCAAAGTGGAACCTGAATAAACAAGTCTGCCCAAGCAACAATCACTACACTCACAAATGAGATTAGGAGGCACCACAGCAGTCCATGAAGGCAACAAAAGGCTGAAGGAGGAAGTTCAATTGGCACAAATGTTTATGAAAGTGACAATGTTTGTTTTTTTGTTAAGTTATGGCAATGCAACACATGGGTGATCTGCCTAGGAGGATGCCTTCTGGGAGGTCTTTTAAGGGAAACTGGCTCCTATTTAGGCATTATAGACGTGGAGAAAACCAGAAAACTCTACATGACCAGCCCGTACAAGTGAGGCGGAAACTCACAACCAAACTCCCAGTATTCAGGATACAAAGACCGCTTGGCCACTGATAGGCCTATGAAAGTGACAAAAACCAATCACAACAAATGCAAAAAGTAAACAATTCTTATTGAAAGTCAATAAATCCTTTGTTTGCCCAAAGAGCAAGTTAGAATAAACTGCCTTTCTACTTTAAACCAGATTATCTATTAGACAGTTGGCCTTTGGATAAAAATGTAAAAGGTGTTTCGATCTTACAGTTTATGAGATTTCTAACTCTTGTTCAGTTTTTCTTTATAAATTATTATTTGTGAATTTCTTAAAATGAAATTATTATTGATATTTCAATTTTACTGACTCAAACATAATGAATTTTGAAAACAATGAATCAAATCCTCTCATTCCAGCACACCTGTTGGAGGTGAAATACAGTATTTAAAATCATCACGCAACTGTTATACAATGCAGAATATCTACTAGAAAGCACACTGGTAACTACTGTTCATATCTCTGCTTAGTTGTATCTCATATATCAAACACACAGTTTTTGTAGTTGATCATGACATCAATGGAACATTGCTTTCCATATTAAATAATTGAGTTGTTTGTTTGTCAGAAGTCTAATTTGTGAGTGGCAGATGGCAAATTGGTAAAGGCATTGACTTGATGCTAATTTGATTTGAATTTTCATGGGTGTCTAGACCTAAATATGTATGGCTTCATTCAACTTCTATTGTAGATCTAGTTGAACCCATAATAGGCATGAGTAAATTTATTAGTATACACAGAATAGAAAAATGAAAGTACTTAAGTATGCTTGAATCAAACAAATAATTTTATGCAAAACCACAGGAACAGGCTCAGCCATGGTTGGACCATTTTTGCTGCGAACATTATGAATACAATTCTAATTTCAAATCACCCACTAGTGTGCAACACTGTCAGAACAAGCCTATACACTTTCCAAAGGGGAAAGCATACTACGAGGGGAGAGGGTTATCCCAAGGTATTGCTTAGTATCTCTTGAAACACTTATATCCCACCCAGGGAGATTTACAAATTAAAAATGTTGAAATTAAATAACTAGATAATAAGTAAAGGTGAAATTTTCACAAAGAAACTAAGAGACTATGGCCATAATTGTGGCAATTGCTATCTGTTTATGACTGAATCATTCTCTCATTCTTATGGCCTTTATGGTGCTTACTGCTCACAATCACTGCTATAATTTATCAAAGTTATAGCATTTGGAAACTATGAATATTTAAGAACAGCTTTATACTTAAGCTTTTGAATGAAAAAACTTTATATAGATGATCATTTATATTAGAATAAGAAGTGTGTTTAATTTTGAGGTAGGTGCATTTTTCATTTTGTAACTCTTGACATTTTCTAACTGCTTGTCCTCAAATCCTTAAGAATTGTATCTATTTTAATTAATGCTAATTAAGTAAGTTTTGCAATGTGATTGAGCTCATAGATTACAGTTTTGATAAACTATAGTTTGACTTTCAATCACTGACACTACAGTGTAATCAAGTTAAAAACTTACTAGGTGGTGTCAATAGCAAGATCATTAAAATAGCTATTAAATAATTGTTAGTAAACTGATAATAGCTCTTCAGCTACTCAAAGAATTTGTTGTGGATTGTTTTAAATTATAATCCTGTTTGAAATATAATCCACTAAATTTATCAACACTCCAAGTCTTTAATAACAAATCAACTGTTTTATTGGAGTATATTTAACATAGCAAAAATAATCAGTGCTTTCAGCTTCTACAGTCCATCCTCAGAGATTAATGCTCTGTTACTTCTAAATTATTCAAAAAACTGTTCTAGTTTTGATTCCAATTTGTTTAAGGAGTTTTTTGGGGCAGTTTAAAACAAAATTAATCTCCAAGGTTAGATTGTAGAAGAATGAAAGAACTTGATTTTTTTTGCAATGTCAAATATTGCATCCAATAAAGAAGTTGCTGGCATACTATGTTACCGTATTTTATTAACAAAGTTTTGTATTAATAATTTACTGAAAATCTGTATATTTTTATTTAATATCTTTATAATCAATAATGTGTACAATCACAAGAAAATTTCACTTCAAATGATGGATAAATGTGTCATGTTTAACCACTTGGCCATTATATATAATGTTAAGTTTGCCTTTATGATTAATAGTGAACATAATTCAATCCAATAAAAGTGAAACCACACTTTAAAATAGATTTTCCTACATTTATAAATGAAATTACAATATTAAATAATGACTTGCTATCGGGAGTATACATCATCCCATTGAATGATCATCGCTGTAATGAAGAATTATTATACATTGGCTCCACTAAGTGCTCGTTAGGTGTCAGAATAAAGAAACACAAGGCTGACATACAGCACAAAAGAGTAACTACTGCACTGGCTCGTTATGCTATGGATCCAGACATCCATCCAAGATTTAACGAAGCCAGGATCATCCACACCACACCTCATACAGAGCATCTAAGATGGATCTAAGCGATTTATATATATAAAGCGGCCCATGACAACAAGTGTATTAACAATAAGGATGAATTGTCTCTATCCCTAGCGTGGCAAACGCTTATATACGACGGAAAAAATTCTATATAAATAAAAAACTTTTACATCGGAAGAATGCGCATGCCTATTAATGATGACAGCTGCAAGATTCATGGATTTCGTTAATCGAATCTCTTTCAAATTTTGAATTCCATTAAATGATTTTTTTACGTATTTACGTTTTTTTCACCTGATGAAGAACCTTAAATTGGTTCAAAAATGTTTGTGGGAACTTTTTNTTATTAACTTTGTGTTCCAGACATTACACTTTTGGCAACTGACCTTTTCTTTTAGGCTACTGGCCGCCAAACAGTCCTTTAAAAAACACAAAAATATCCAATTAAAAATATAAACATTTTTAAAAAACAGGAACTGGTGATGTTCGGACATCATCTACTTTCCATCATACCTTGCTGGGGTTGTTTCGGCTTTTATCTACAACAAAATAAGCGCTGGTAAAATGTAGATGAGGAAAACTGGCCCCTGGTGACTATACTTTAAAATCTTTTTTGTAAATTTTCGTCCGATGGAGATAATTATGATTAATTTTTTTAAAGGACTGTTTGGCGGCCAGTAGCCTAAATGAAAAGGTCAGTTGCCAAAAGTGTAATGTCTGGAACACAAAGTTAATAAAGGGTGGTTCCTATTTTTTGGAAAGGATGTTGTTTTCAAAAGAATTAATCATAATTATCTCCAGCAGAAAAAAATTTACAAAAGAAAAAATATGATTTTTAATTAACTATCTCTGAAAGTTGGTAACACAGTAGTTGCAGTGTATAGGATTCATAATAAATTAATTTTTATTTTGGTGATAAGTGAGCACAGTCACTCTTTGTCTAGATCAGTGTTTCTCAACCTCTAACGAATCGCCGCCCCCTTCAATAAAACCGTTACGTAGTATCACCCCCTTCACTTCGAAATTCCGATGTCAAGGGCCAAGGCTAACACCAAATTCTTACTGCATTGAATAGACTAATGACTAGTATAATGTTATTTGTTTAATTATTGTACGATATAAAATATCTAATTATTCTTAATATAATGTTTTACTATATTGCCCAGAAAATTGTTTTTTGCCCCCCAAAATATAAATTGTTACTAATCGCCCCCTCAACATGGAAAAATGCCCACATGGGGCGATATCACCCCCGTTGAGAAACACTGGTCTAGATTCATTAAAGTGAGACAGAAAATTAAGTGAGGTGTGCAAATTAGCCACTGCTCAGTCCAAGGTTACTTGACATTGTCAAAAAATAAACAAAACCTTGGAACCTCATTTAATCATCGAATATAAAGCTCATAAAACTGTTATATTTTCTTTTAAATATTTCTTGGTATGATCATCTGGAAAAATTTTAATTCATCTGATCAATTACAACTTTTTAAATTTCAATTTAACACTCCTAAAGTGGCTACAATGCAACAAAGACTCACAATCTCATCTACAAGGCATTTGATAAAGATAATCAACAGATAGATCCATTACAATTGGTTTAAGAAATTCAAGCATGATGATTTCTTGCTTCAAGAAGAACTCCATCCAGAAAGTGATTCCACCATTGATGATAATTCCTGCAACTGTTAGACAATAATCCACAGTTGATCAGAGAATTAGCACAACTTGAGTGTTCCAAAATCAAAGAACTTTGTCTAAGAATTGACAAAGTCTGATACCATCACAACAATATGCCAGTACATAGAGCAAAGATGACCTTACAGAAGTTGACCAATCTGGGCTGGGAGGTTCTGCCTCATCTACCTTACAGGCCAGATTTGGAGCCAACTGATTGCCGTCTATTTCATGCTCTGCATAGCTATACAGTAGACCCCCCTATAACACTGTTGATAATTCCATGTTGTATGAGTCACTTAGATTTTACAAATACGTGTGCAAGACTGTGAACAGCTCACAGCTAAGTGACTCGTACTACACAGAATTATCAACAGTGTTATAGGGGGACTACTGTATTGCCAAAATACAGTTCAACAACAATATCTAGTGTTTCAGACTTTCTTCAAAGAAAAATTCCAGTTGTTCTGTGCTCATGAGATTAGAACTTTTTAGCAAAGGTAGCAAGATGTGATTGATATTGTGAGTCACGGAAAGTCCGAATCCCTCATTAAATGTACAAAAAATTCACTGCATTTAAAGAAAATATTTTGTTAATGTAAAAAATGTGTAAAATAGATCTGTCGTGAAGATGTAAAATAAACAAAGTATGGTCGACCCTGTGAGGTCACGGGTTGATGCAAACTAATGTGTTGAAACATTCAGAATGTCAAAAGTGAAGATCAAGCTTAGACTCTAATGTTCATAGGGAAGATAAAATTGAATAAACAAGGAAATCTAGCATTTCTTTGAAAGAAAAACCATTACATCGTAGTTAATAAAGAAAAAAAAAAAAAAAATTCTTAAGTGTCAGAAAAGAAATCATCATCAAAATAAATCAAATCAACACTTTTGGATGAAGTCGAATAACGATGTTGAATGGATTAATGAAGAGCAGTGTTTCCTATGCCTAATCTGGTTAACTTATTTCATCTGGAAACAAGAAGGGGACTAAGAGAGAAAATCAAGAATTTTGGAGACAGATCCTTTAAAAATCCCAAAATTCAAGGACAAAGGGAGTTGCTTCTCCTTAGCTCAACCCATGTGTCCTCTGCATCAATGTCCCTTTTGTCTTCAACTTCACCTTCATTCTGCGACCACTATGCCTGATTTCCAACTAGTCTGCCCTAGGCTGTCTGATCACTGTTGAAATTCCATCAAATTGCTGTTGGATAACCAACGATGGTGGATTACAAACTGAACTTTCCACATTTTATTTTCCATCTTCAAGATGTTCTTGACCAAAATTGTGTAAGCACCACGTATTTTTTAAATGGAATAAATCACCAAACGATCGCCTAAATATTGGGTTATAATATGGCTAATTAAATGATTGGTATAAAGTAATTTGTCGTTAGAGGTAAACATTAGACACCATCTCTTAAGTAAATTAATAATTATAATTAAATAAATAAATTATTAAATAAATTTAGAACCTTCTAGAATAAAAGAACTGGCCTGGGACGGGCTTGAACCCACAACCTCCGCTTGCCAGTTACGCCACCCGGACCCCGAGCAAGTCTTCGCTTCCAGAAGTATATTAGATTAGATATAACCTTACTTGGTTAAATACATCACTGACTGGGGACGACTCCATCGCCCACGACCCCAACGGCACTCAGCCGGCTAACGTAATAATACCCGGCGAGGTAT